ATTTATTTTATATCATCACTACACTGGTACAGTTTTTAAGAAAGACAACCAACATGATGCTTGAGAGAATACAGTGATGGATGGGCAAAATCTGAAAAGCCTGCTGGTATTTGAAGGATATAGGTAATTGCAAGGTGGAGGCAAAGATTATACAGGAGTATTTATTTCTGTGTTCAATAACATGTATTCACCACCTAATATGTGCCAGGTTTTATCTTAGAAAATATGACTGTTAGAAAGAGGTGCTTAACCTTCTGGAACTTATATCTTAAAGATTTGGACGCTTCTCAGTTAGTCTTAGAAATATAATCCTCTTGATAGATAAAGTATATTTAATCAAATAAAACCTTCAATGAATCTATTTGGATGTCTATTTGAATAAAGATTGTATATAAATTAAAATATTTTAATGTGTTTAATCAAAATAAAGTAAGCAAACACTTGAGAAATGTTTAACATTTTTTCAATGTTACATGTATGATTTAAAAATTATAAAAATACTTATTTTCATGAGTACAAGTTTACAGTACATAACGATTACACTTCTTGTGAGGACTTGGTATACACACACACAACACATCTCAATCCTTTTTTTCTTCTTGCCTTTTACCTTTTTTAAAAAAATTATTTTTTCCAGCATCAGATACATTTATGTGTAAGTTCTAATTAAGTTAATTATCATGTTTACAGATTAACAGCCAGACTAATAAGCCAAAAAACATAAAAAGCACATAAGACAATTTACTAACTCAAAGTACAATTTTAGATGCATTGCCTGTGCTGGATTACAATAACATTTTTCCTCTTTTTTTTTTTTCCTACTGTCTCTTTCATTTTGCACTGTAATTATATATTGGACTTCTCATAGAAGAGAAACCGTGCTGTATTCAAGTTTATGTGTCTTTACTTCATTTAACATTATGGTCTCGAAGTGCATCCATTTTCCTGCGAATGAGTTGAGTTTATCCTTCATTATGGCAGAGTTGTACTCCATTGTATATAAATACTACATTTTCTTTTTCCATTCATGTGTTGATGGACATACATACAGGCTGCTTTCATGATTTAGCTATTGTGCTGCTATAAACGTGGGTATGCATGCTTCAGTGTGATGCAGTGTCTTTTTAATTCTTTTGGGAAGATACCTAGAAAGGGAGTAGCTGAGTCAAATGGAATTTCTAGTTTTAGTTTTTTGCCTACACTTATGGCTTCAGGAGTTTTGCCTCTTTAGTCTTTCAAGAGATTAAGTATTTCTGTTTTAATATTTAGATCTTTGATCTATTTTGATTTTAGCTTAGTGCATGGTGAGATATAGTGGGGTTGTTTCAATCTTTGGCATGTGGATAGTCAGTTCTCTCAGCATCATTTGCTAAAGAAGCCTGTTTTGTTTTGTTTTCTTTGCCCAATACCATGGTGTTTTTATCATTGTAGCTTTGTCCTACAGTTAACTTGAAGTTCAGGATTATGATGCCTGCTGCATTACCCTTGTTGTCCAGAATTGCTTTTGCTACTCTAGGTCTCTTCTGGTTCCATATGAGTTTTAGGTTTGCTTCCTCTAGTTCTGTGAGGAATGGTATTGGTATTTTTATTGGGATTGCATTAAATCTATTTAATACTGTTGGAGGTAAAGGCATTTTGACTATATTGGTTCTGCTATGCAACAATGGGGATATCTTTCAATTTTTTGATTAAATAATTGGTAATCATGGGAAAAGGGTAGAGATGGATTTATTTCAGTTTATTAACTGGAAAAATTGCTTCACTGAAAGATTTTGGAGGTTTAAATTCATAAGTAAATTAAACTCAAGAGTAAGCAGAGGACAGAGGCATAGACAGTCGCAGGGATGAGAAACAGAATCACATGAGAGGAATCATTTCATCTTAGCAAGTATCAGCTGGAATCTTCTGAGATGGATATTGAATTTACCTTTGGAAGGATGGCTCTGGTGTGTGGGACAATCCCTTCTTGAGCTGCTCACTCTTTCTGTTCTTTTCCTGTTGTGACCTTGAATGACCTCACTTAGCCTGTATCAAGCTTCACTGCATAGTTCTTTGGAGTGGCTTCTACTCAGGAGTTAGAAGTAGAGGCTGACAACTTATAGTTTAATCAAATGTGTCAGTTGCCTGAAGAAGTCTTACTCCTAATCTCCCCTTGTAGAAAAGTCCAGGCTGACTTTTAGTCCAATGAGAAAGCTTTGGAAAGAAAGATACTGATTAAGTGTAAATATTTTAAAAAATGGGACAGATTGGAATGATGATATTGTTGAAAAGAAAGTTCTAAATTTTATAGAATGGATAAATGAAGCACTATAACAATAACTTCTTTACACCTTTTTCCCCCCACATTTCTTTCATAGCACACATGCACACACATACACTATCCCTGGGTAGGGAACAGACTAAAGAGTCATGGAAATAATAAAGCAGTAATTTTCAAATTTCTAGGATTTTTTTTTTTTTGGTACCTGGGATCAAACTCCGGATCTTGCACTTGTGAGGCAGGTGGTGGCACCACTGAGCTAAATCCCTGGCCCAAGTTTCTAGGGTTTTGATCAGAGGAAATGTATAAATATCCTATCAGCTGAAATTGATTCTATCTTACATACAGAAATAGTATTACAAATTCTACTTACCATACCGTCACAATCATTTGAGAAGTACCTGAGAGAAATTATGATTTTAATAATAGTAAATGTCGATTTTTATTACACATTTATTGTATGCCAGGAATTAACCTATCTGCTTTCCAAGTATTCAGTTTTTAACTAAACCTTGTAAGTTTGGTATTATAATTTCAACATGGAGAGCAAGTACTCAGTGGCTAAGAGGCAGACATTAAAACTACATCTTATCTTCATAATTAAGTAAATGATTTGGTCAAGTTATTAAACTGCTTATGCCCCAATATTCCTCTTGATAATAACTCATGGAATTATCATGAGGATTACCTGTAAGCATTAAATATATATTGTGCATTTATTTAATGTATTTAAACATAATAATGTTTGTACCTATTAAAGACTAGAAGAGTGTTATAGTCAGATCAGAATTATTTTTTATTTTAAAATGTTTTTTTGCCTATTTAGTAATAAGACTAGGAGTCATGGCAGAGCAAACTCATCTCTTGGGTAGACATTCATATTTACTTCAGATATGCAAATAGTAGTAGCCCCTTGGATAATTAAATCTAAATCTAAACTTATAGTTAAATCTTTGCATGATAAATAGATACAGGAGGTATTTGAATATATAATGTAATGAAATTGATTATGATTGGTATACTTACATCGAAGCATATTTTAACATATTTTGCTGTTTGCTTAAAATTGTTTTTTATTGATCTGGTTGGAAAAGATTTCAGGCAGTTTGGCTTTTTTCAGTTTGTGTCACCTTTACACATACACCTGGTAATGTCTAAGTATTAAATTTGTCAAAATATTTTTTTGAAAATAGAATACCTTTTGCATATTAAAAAGGCCACTCTAATTGTAAGTTTTTCCTTAAATTTAGTTCTGTTTTTATTTTTTTAAATTAAGTTTATTGGTACATTTTAGGTATACAGTCCAGTTAGATTCATCATTGGGATCTTGTACCTCATGACATATCTTTTGGCTCTTATATTTTTCCCATACCCCTGGCCCTCCCTTCACCCCCTCCACCCTTCCCTGTTTACAAAGACTTTATTTCCATGTTTTTCCTTTTCTTATATTTTTCTTTTCCCTTCTTACCTTTCCCCTACCCCTCCCACTTCCCCTACTCCTTTAGACCTTTTCTTCCTATTATACAATATCATTTATACACTTTGATCCTTATTTAAACTTTTAGTTTTTCAAACCAGAGAAACTATTTGGTATTTATACATGTGTGTCTTACTAAGACTTTAACTTAAAGTCTTTCACTTAAGAGTATGGCCTCAATGTGCATAACTTAGCTATAAATGTTTCTAGTTTCTTGTTCTTTATGGCTGAGTAGTACTCCATTTTATTAAAAAAACTCATCTTCTTTATCCGGTCTCTAGTTGATGGGCAATTGGTCAGTTTCCAAGTTTTAGCTATTACAAACTGTGCTGCTATAAATATGGGTGAGCATATATCACTGTGGTATGATTCTTTTAATTCTTTTGGGAAGATACCAAGCAGAGGAATAACTGGGTCAAATGGGACCTCCAACCTCCAATCCTAGTTATTTGAGGTATCTCCATATTGACTTCCACAATGGTTGCACCAGTCTGCGCTCCTACCTAAAATGAAGAGGGGTTCCTTTCTTCTCTCAGTCCTGCCAGTATTTGCTATTGGTTGATTTCTTGATAGTAACCATTGTTTGTGGGGTGAGATGGAATCTCAGTGTTGTTTTCATCTGCATCTCTTAAATGACTAGTGATGTTCAACATTTTTCATAGTTCTGTTTTAACACATAAATTAAAACAAAAAAATTTTGTGGTTAACTTTAGAGATATATGTTTTCTTAAAGTTCTTTTCCATTTCATTAAAGAGGGGAAACTGTAGAAATGAATCCTTTTCTAAACATGAAGTATAATTTGAATAGCCACTTAAGTGTGATGGGAAAAATGTAGAATGTGTATTGATACACTAAGCTTGTTTATATTGTGTGGACTCTCAGAATTTGAAAAACTAGTGAGCTAAGTTTTGGTATTATATCTAAATGGTTGAGCAGATTATGTACTTAAATAATGTTATTTCAGTAGGCAGTAAGTTTTGTTTATTTTCAAGGCAACTATTAGCTTTGTAGGCTCCCTAAAGGTGTAACAAGATTGCCAAAGATGGGGGGAAAATGAAATTTTAGTGGAAAGCGATTAGAAACATCAAGAAATTGGAGTATTCTTAGGGCTTCAATGAAGGAACAGATTGTAATTCTTTTATAGATTTTTATGCAACTCCTAACTGTAGCCTCCTCAGCCTTGTCTTAATAAATCCTAGTAGTGACTTTCAGTTTTATACATATTCTAGAATAATATATTCTTTTCTACTCTTTCATTGTAGGTATTGAGGAAACAAGAAAATAAAGCAGAAGAGAAAGAGGGAGTAATGAAAAATAAGCTAAGACAAACTGAAAGTGAGAAGAGTCAAGTAAGATTTTGAGCATTATCTTTCAAATATTAATGTGGTTTGGATCAGTAGTATCTGTTGAGGGTCTTGAAACACGTGCCTGAGGTTGTTCACTAGATCACAGTGAAGACTTTGTGCTTGGATGTGAGTTTGGTTTGACGGCTCTGCTGCCCTTTACTTTGTACACACATATGCACAGTTTACTTGCTAATCTCCTTTTTGAGAAGTGAATTAAACTTTTTGTTGCAGTTAAGGGAATTGATGTTGTTGTAGTGTTAGCAAGTTATTGTTTGAAGGCTGTATATTTTGGATATATTTATTTTCAATGCAGAAGAAGGTATTTGTAGCTTAGTTCTGAAAACATCCTCTGTGCTCGTTATAAATTGAGAACTTTTGACATATATTTATATCTTTATAAACGCATACAATCCAGCACACTAGAATTCGGCAGGAATTCAGAGGCCAAAAATCCTCTTTAATTTGTAAATGCATAGAATGAAGGGTGAGCCCAAGGCAAGGAACAGTAGATAAAAAATTTGCTGCTGTTCTTGACTTCATATCTTTTTTTTTTAAAACCTCCTGTATTTTGTTTCACTGGCCTGTGTAAATTTACATAATACTGCTATGTTGCCTTGATGTTGAGCCAGATATGACAGGTTGTCAAGTTTGCTTTTGGAAGTTGAGAGTGCTGACTTTACATGGGGATTATAACCATTATAGGCCGAGCTTTATTTTACTTAAAAAGAAAAAAGACATTTATTTTGAGCCACATGTACACATTTCTGTAAAAACTATTTAACTGGGTTAAAAAGTTGTTTTGCAACATTCATAGATTAATAGGATGTTTCAAAACAAAATACATAGAGAGGTCCCGTGTACCTTTCACCTTGTACCCTCCATGGTAATATTTTGCATATTGCCTTTTGATATCAAAACTAGGAAATTGACATTGGTGTAATCACAGAACTTATGCAGATTTTGCCAGTTTTATATGTGCTTACTCTTTTTGAGTGCATATGAATGTTTATATCTGTGTTTTTAGTTCTGTTCACCTCTATCTCATGTGTAGATTCCTTTTATCATTGCCACAAACAAGAAACAGGGCTGTTCTATCACCATGAGGCTCTTCCATGCTCCTTGATAGGTGCATCTACCACAAGTACAATTTTTAAAGGCAGCAATTTGTTTATGTGCAGTTATTCAGGATGACTATTAAAAACCTTAGCACTTAAAAACGTCTTAATATAGCATTATGATTTTGCAAAACAGCTTTATTGTTACAAAATGCAAACAAATACAGCATATGGAAGCTCTAAATTTTGAACAAACTTGTGTTCCATTTTACTACATTTTTCAGCTTGAAATAAAGTAGACATATTAAGACTTTGTAGGGTATTTAGTCAACTAACTAGGTACATTTTCCATGAATAGTAGCAGTATTATTAATGATAGTCCAACTGTCTTATTCTGAATTTGTAGATTTTAAAGTTTTAGGAATATTTTATGAATATTAGAAATATAAGAAACCACCAGTTAGATTAAATGTATTTTGAATCATCAGGTCTCTTTTTTTATTCTAATTTAGTTCATTTGACATTACATATTCTAATCTAAAGAAAAAAATCGCTTCAGAATTTAGATTAAAGTGATTTAGAACTGGAAGGGATCTCAGGAGTCTGTAAAATCCTTATTTTAGAAATGAATTGAGGCTCAAAGAAGAGACTTACACAAGATTGGTTGTAAATATCTCCTGAAAAATGTTCTTCTATTTTCCTTGTATGGTATGCCTCATTGGCCCTATTTTGTCCATTTGGGCAAAATTTAAGTTATTTTCTGCTCAATTGGACATTTTTTTTTTTTAATTCTTTGTTGAAACTTTAGCTTGAGCAGGAATTGGAGTTATCTCGAAGGTTATTGAATCAGTCAGAAGGCAGCAGAGAAGTACTTTTGCATCAGGTAAGTCTATTGAAACTATGACAATCTTCTTTTACATGAAATTAGGATTGAATCTTATTCTCTCTTAACTGTCCTTGTGACACGAAAAAGAAACTAGGTCTAGAAAAAAAAATTTTTTTCCCCTGAGGAACTCATGTTAACTCACCTAAGCAAAAGATGAAGATTTTGAAAAACCTTATACAAAATACCAGTTCAAGTTCCCACTGTGACAATTTATCTTGCTTACTGCTCCAACCACTTATCTCTCTTAGCATGAGCAGTGTAAAAAGAAGACTGGATGTGTAAGATAAAATTTTCCCAGGAGTTTAATTTTATTCAAGGAGGCAATGGAGAATAAAGGAGAAACTAAGTACATAAAACAGCCCTTTGCATTTTCAAGTTACTTTGAATACACCATTGCCTTCTATTCATGTTTTCAAGATGCTACCTGGCCCCTTGTAAGCAAGGATAGAACTTAATTTTTAAAGATAATGTTTTGAAGTCTATTAGCCTGTAATAGGAGTGTGGTGCTTCTGAGAACTTTAGCCATCTCTCATACAGTTAATATGGGTGTATGGGTTTTTATCTGCCTCTTTGTATTTAATACAAAGCACCATTGTGCCTTCTGTTTTGAGATGCATGTTGCATAACTCACCCACATAATATGCTCTGTAGGCAAAGATGTCAGGCATCATAGGTGTTCAGAAGGAGTTTAGCATTTTGACAATTGCAGCTGAAAATACACCATAGCACCTGTTTTATAAAACCTTTAACAATGTTCATTGACTTTGTTCTGCTGCCAAGTGGGTCACGTGGAATCAGTGTTAGCAGAATTCCGATTTTTTTTTTGAAAGTTGTATTCAATTCCATTCGATTTTTTTTTTTTTTTGGTAACTCTTGTGTGTAATCTCTAATATCCGTTTTTGAAGCAAGAGATTCCTTTGTTCAAGATATCACTGTGAATTTTAATCTTTTTGTCATTACTAACTTGCTTATGGTCATTGGAGATTTACCTCTTATCTCATAGGCAATTTGCTAATCTTTTTTTAGAAATGCAAAGATGAGTAGAACAGATCCTGATTTCAGAAGTTCATACTTTATTCAACAACATCTATTGCCTATTTATTTTGAACTGTATTTTGGTATAAAAATATACTAAACCATGATCACTTCAATTGAACAGCCAACAGACCATGTTTACATGAGAGAAAATAAGTGAAAAATAGAAAACTAAAAATATATAGTTCTTATTTGGAAGTGATTTGGGCTAATAGTAGTGAAGTGGACCGAGAGCCAAATAAAGGATTTAAAAAGACTTGGTTGGCCCGAGGGTGTACCTCAGTGGTAGAGTACTTGCTATGCATATGCTCTGGGTCAAATGACCAGCATCACAAACACAAAACAAAACAAAACAAAATGATGTGAAATTCTTTATTGATGCAGAGAATGAAAAGACCCTCTTTCCATGTGGAAGAATGAAAAACCAAGCAGGTTACTGCTGGATGTCTTTCCCAAAAAGTCATATTTCATACCATATTTCAGTGATACATGCATATTCATGTTTATAGCAGCACAGCTCTTACTAGCTACATCTTGGAAGCATCCTGTGTGGCCTTCAACAGACGAATGGATAAACAAAATGTGTTATATGTACACAATGGAGTAGTCCTCAGCCACAAAGAAGGATTCATTTGAGTCATTTATAGGAAAATGTGTACATCTTGAGACCATAATCTTATGTGAAATAAATCGGATCCACAAGCACAAATATCACATGATTTCTCTTATATGAGAAATCCAAAATAAAGAGCAAAATTAAAGATAGGTGATATGAAACAGGGTGATAGGTTCTTTACAAATGTAAAGGAGAACTAGAGATGGGAGGAAGAAGGAGAGGACAGGAGAAGTAAAAAGAATTATGACATGTACCAATTTCCCAAGGTGAATGTCATCACTGTGTACAGCAACATGTATTAATAACATTAAAAAAGAAAGAATGGAGCAGGAGGCTGATCCACTGTGTTTGTATGGCAACGAGATTAGATTGACTTGGTTTCAGTTTGTGTCTGCAATGGTCCATAAGATGGAAATGTTTTTCCCCCAGAGAAATAATTTATAATAATTCATAAGTTTTGTTTTTTCTCTTGCTTTTGAAAACTGATAAAGCTTTCATTTTTTTCACTAAATGCATGTAGGTAGAAGAACTGCGTACACAACTTACAAAAGCAGAAGGTGATTGGAAGGGTTTACAACATCAACTACCCCAGATTTCCAAGCAACAGTCAAACCATCAGGATGAACAAGGAGATGACTGGAGGTTTAGGAGAGGTATTATTCTGATTCATAAATGTGTGGGTTTCTATTCTCTGAATTCATCCCTTATGTTTTGCTCAGTGTTATCCTATCTGTTTCTTCATCTGCTACAAAATTTTCCAACAAGGTGATCATCATTTATCATCCAGTTGTATTTCTTCTCTGCTTGATTTCTAAACTTATTTTGATTTTCACACCTGCTTATTTCATGGGGATTTCTCTGCTAGTGTGCAAAGGTAATTGTGCAAATTTTTCCATTTTTTTATTCCTATGCCTAAGTGTGTGTTTGTGAATGCACTTGGTACTTCAATTGTAAATATATCTATTTTCATTTTTTCTTGTCTTAATTTTTTGATGTGTGAACAATTAAAAGTAAGATTTTATCTTTTTGTTATCTGGAGATTTTGTGACCTTCTCAAAATCGGTCATGAACCACATTAACCTGGGTTAGGAAGCACTTTACATTTGTGTACCTTCTCAGTAGACTTATTGATTTAGATTGTGGAGTTTAATGACTGGTTGTTTTTTCTTTTTGAAAGTTCTGGTTTAACAAGAATTGGGTACATTTTAAAGTGGTTTCTAAAAGGCAAGTTCAGATTGCTTAGTTTGAAATTTATTCCAGTAATGAGGCTATCTATTCAAATGAACAAAATATTGGAGAAACTGTGGTTTTGCACTGTGATGCTAGGGACCAACCCCAGTGGACCTTGCTTATGTTAAATACATGCTGTACCACTAAGTTACACCCTCAGAACCTGGAGAAACTCTTATAAGCATTTGATGTGCAATTAAATTCAGGGAAGTTAAATATTTCCCAATAAGACAGTATGTGGTGTTAAGTAGAATTGCCACATTGTCAGACAATTCTTCAATGAATGGCTGAGGTAGAAGGATCGCCCTAAGTTTGAGGCCATTCTGGGCTACATTTTGAGTTTGAGGCCAGTCTGAACTACATAGTGAGATCCTACACCCCCAGACAAACACCCCCCCCCACAAAATATTAATACTAAGATATTATGGGCTGAGGTGTTTTCCTCTAAATTTTCTGTATTGAAATCTTAACTTCTGGTACCTTAGGAAGTGAGTGACTGTACTTGCACATGTAACTTAAGGGGCTGAGAGTGTAGCACAGAGATGGAATGTTTGCCTAGCATGCCTGAGGCCCTAGGCTCAATCCCCAGCACTGCAAAGTACCACAAAATAATAACAAGGAAATTAAATTAAAGTGAGGTTATTAGGGTGGGCCACAATCCAAGATGACTGCTGTCCTTATAAAAAGAGAAGATTTAGAAAAAGACAAAATATACACAGAAGTACAACCATATAGGGGCACAGTGAGAAGCTGACCATCTACAAGTTAAAGACAGAAGCTTCAGAAGAAACCAACCCTGCCTACACCTTGATCTTGCACTTCCCGGCACCAGGACTGTGAGAAAATAAATTTCTATAGTTTAAAGCACCCAGTCAGGTTTGTACCTCTATGCTTTATAGTATTTCCTTTCCTTAAAATAATAGCTCAGGTCTATCCCTTTGCTTGGTGAAATTTTTGTATTCATTCTTTAAATGTAATTTAGGCCCTAATTCTTCTTACCCTAGTTTTTCACTACTGCCTTTTGTTCTGTTTCTCAGTAATGCTCTTTTATCTGTCAGTGCTCATCTCATGCTGTTGAAAAGCCTGTATGTCTTCCATTCCAAAATGTACAGTCTTGAACATTTTTATATTTCTGAAGTTAGGATGTATTTTAGGTTTGATGTATATGTTTGAATTAATAGTTTATTCTTTACTTTTCTGCAAAGGAAACTACTGGAAAAGTAGTAGTTTTGAATTGATAGGATATATTCCAGTTGCTGACATTTTGGAGTAAAGGAATTACTTTATGTATATTTCTTGTCTGTGATTCTGTAATGCAGGCTCATTGAAGATGGGTTTTTATACTTATCTTTATGTTGGAAGAACATGGTATTGTAGAGCCTGTGTATCACAGACCAAGTTCTTCCTGTTTAATTACATAGTAAGTCACTTTACACTGTTCAATATTATAGTTAGAGGCGATAGTCTCAAAATTATTAAAAAGTAGCAAACTGGTAGTCCCACATGATCAGATATTTATTTTCTCTGTTGTAAAAATAAAGGATTTATTTCATTGTATATAAACTTTAGTAACTTTAGTTAAATATAAAAGCTTATTTGAAAATTCTCTCAGCATTTTTATTTGAAAGTTTGGTGGTAGAGATGTGAAGAAAATGAAATCTTGTAAGATTTTTCTTTTTTTTTTAATTGAGTTTATTGGTGCAATCTAGGTATACAGTCCAGTTACATTCATCATTGGGATTCTGTACCTTTGCATAAGAGGTCTTGATTCTCATTTTTTCCCCTTGTCCCTGCCCTCCCTTCTTCCCCTCCTCCCCTCCCCACTTACAAACACTGTAAGATTTTTCTTGAAATAAATTGTTCTAGAAATCAGATAAGGTTTAAAATCTTTGTACCAAAATAGAATAATATTGAATGGCAGTAATATATATGTCTTTGAAAACCATGTGACACTAGACTGGCAAAGTCTGAAATATCTTGAGTGAAAGTGTCAGTAGGTAGATTATGTTAGCTAGAATATTAAAACATCAGGGCTTAGTACCATTGGAAAGTACATTCTCCTGTGAATAAAGAATAACCATTGAGCTTTACATTTTCTCTTTTAAGGGGTGGAGTGGGAAAAACAGGATCTGGAGAAGCAGATGTCAGATTTGAGAGTACAGCTGAATTTCAGCGCAATGGCATCTGAGTTAGAGGACGTGAAGCGGTGCATGGAGCGAAAAGACAAGGAGAAAGCAAATTTGGCAGCGCAAATAGAGGTGACTTTGCTACTTTTAAGCTGTATTTAAAAGACTGCAATTTTATTTAATACAATTACTTAATGAAAGTTTAAGATAAAAATGTATTATTTTTGTGATCTCTAGTTTGGGTATAGATAATATAAAGTTATATTAAAAACTTGTTTACTTTATATAGAAATTCTTGTGGATTCATTTTTCTCATTTGGGACCTCAAAGCGAGGAATCTAGATGGTTTTCCCTTTATTATTTCATAGTGAAATCTTCAGCTGTTATTAAATTTCAAGATATTTATGTTCTAATAGCAGCTGAGCTCTTTCCACAGACAGAAGGGATTTTCTTCTCTGACTGAACAGTGGATTATTTATTTAGGGGGTGAAACTGGCAAAAAGAAATTACTGATGTTTTTTCTTTCGAACGATACAGGTTTTAAGATCTCCAGCTGTTCTGCATGAGGTAGAGTTGTGATGCCTCCATTAATTAGAGTTGTGGTACTCATGAGTGATGTGGTAACCATGAATGAAGTGCTACTAGGCATCTGCTGTTTCCTGCTTGCCTTTTATCTAGCATAGGTAATTAGCAGAATATATTAAAAATCAAATGAAAGGACTTCATAAAAGGAAATAAATTAATTCTAATTCTAATTATGTAAATTTGATCAAACATAGATGACACTTGGAAATAGATATGTATCAGTGTTCCCTGGTATCTGTTTTTATTAGTGCAGTTGTATCTGTTTTATTAGCTGATTATAATAAGTTGCTGCATTTGAAGAATTTTCAAAATTATAATGATAGAAAATTGGTGTTGACAGTACCTAACTTTATATAACCTGAAGGAAATAGTCAATGTTGCTGTAGTCTGAGTTTCCCTTTCATCTTGTAAACATGTCAATAGAAAATGTATTTTAGATTTTGCTCAAGACTCAGATTGTATAGATAATGAAATATTGAGGTACTCTTTACAAAGCTTTTGTATGTTTAATAAATACGTATCAGAAATAGTCTTTACGCAGTGATAATTGCATGGCTTTTAAAGTTTGCATCATGGGTATTATTTTGACTCTGGATCCAGCTGATGAAAATGCTAACATATGATCTTGCTGTGAAGTTAACAACTTAAAAAACTTTGGTAATGAAAGAAAGTTAGAAAAAGTCCCCTTTGCTTGTTATTTTAAACACACATTAATCTTTTTTCTCTCTTCGCTCTTTTTCTCTCTTTCCTATGCTTTCTTTTCATTTACTACTTGTAGTATAAATTGGAAAAAAGTCTTGAATACATGGGCATTAAAATTGTTCTCAGTAGCCTAATACATGTAATGTTTTCATTCAAGAAGCCTGGCTTTCCTCAGTCCTAACTTTAATAGTCCTTGACAGCCAGTTTTCACATAGATTAGGAGAGGTGTTTGAATTCTCTTGGATTAGTTTGGGTAGATGTGTTCAGTGGATGTGGAAAGCAGCTAGAGAGGCTTGGTACTCACACATACAGTATCTTGGACTTCTGGTCTATGCTGGGCACTGTCCTTAGAGCTAGCAGCGTAGCAGTGGATGACCCCCCCATTTCCTCATTGTCCCTAACATTCTAGTGTTGATAGAGAAAGTTCTTTGAGTTTGTCTTGCTCTGAAGGACTAGTCCCTTTTAGAGGGTGGAAAGTTTTGTCCCCCCAATTGTTGAAAATTATGTTACAAAAAGACAGTGTTCAGCCTAGGGAGAAATTAGCTTTTAAGTAGTTAACTAGTTTTAATTTTTCAGGTTTTATTTTAAATAAAACAATCATTTTAGTTAAATTTATATCATTTGTTTCAGGCTCAGTAACACTTCTGATTATGCTTTCATTTTTAGTATGAGGGCTGAATGAAACTCAAGGGTGCTCTACCACTAAGCTATATTGCCAGCCCTATTATTATTATTGTTATTATTAATTTTTTTTTATTTTGGTACCGGGGATCAAACTTGGGTCCTTGCGCTTGCAAGGCAGGCGGTAGAACAACTTAGCTAAATCCCCGGCCCCTATTAATTTATTTTGAGATAGATCTCACTGGGTTACCCAGAAGCAGTTGAACTTGCAGTCCTCCTGTTCAGCCTTCCTAAGTGCTGGGATTGCAGGCATGCACTACTACACCAAACCTTGTGTATTTTGTGTGCTTTGTGGTGGGCTTTTCAATGTCTTTATTTCTGAGTTCTTCTCACATTGATGCCTGGTGCAGACTTTATGAGACATATGGCTCAGAAGTCACTGAATTGTAACCACCAACAGTAGAGAATGTCTCTAATTTAGTTGAATACCATTTAATTTTTGGCCTTTTTCTTTTTTTTCCTTTTCAGAGCTGAGAATTGAATCTGGGGCTTTGCACATGTTTGGCAAATGCTCTACCACTGAGCTACACCTCTCAGCCCAATTTCTGCTTTAATTTTAGAAAACCTTAGGTAGCATTGGACTGTTGTTGCCTTTTACATTCTATGAAAGTGGAAACTAATCTTCTTTAGTTGCTTATTAATGATGGAATGTGTACAAAAGTGAGCCACAAAATGAGATTATTGATCAAGCTCAAGAATGTTTGTATAGTAACAATTTTTACAACTTGTTCAATGATGTTCTTTTTAACCTTGACTTTCTCACAACTCTCCTACAGAATCTTATCTGTGTTGTCAAACAGTTCTGTTTTCTTAAGTTCCCTTACTCATTTCCATCTTTTTTATCCTTGTTCAGTTGTTCACTGTTTCTGTAATGTCCTAATGTTTTCCCATGGTAATCCTAACCTTTTCCCCCACCAAAGCCCTCCTGGATTCTGTCACCCTTCATTCACCTCACTATGGTCCTTATGGTGCCATCTTACATTGTGTTAAGGTTTTCTGGATATTTCCTTAAAATTTCAAAGTGGGTCAAAAACAGGTAGAAAAGAACATATAGGAGAAAAGCAGTTGTCTGGTCCACAAGACTTTGTCTACTCTCTTTACCTTGGTGAAGATACCACATTTCAGAGTCTTGTTCTCTCATCTGGCAGCTTGGGTTTTCTGTGTCCTAGAGTTATTGTAAGTAAGGGGACTAGCTTATGTTTTCTGTGTCCTAGAGTTTTATGACTAAGGTGACTAGTTCATGTTAGCAATGCAACTCCTAAGGGAATAATGTATAAAAGAGTGGCAGTTCATTGATTTGCCCTGTAGGAGCCCCACATAGATTTTTAAAAACTATTCTCTCTAGCAGGACACCAGTCTCCCAATTTTCTATACCTCAGTTTTGGAATTTGAAATAAAAAATTGCTTGGTGAACACAGAGTCAGATAATAATGTCTAAAGGGCTGTTTGTCCTTAGGTGCGGTAAAGTTTTTCACCATCTCACCTCCCTTTAATGAGTCCTTATAACCAGAAATCCTTTTTTATTGTAGCTAGACTTCTGACTTTATCTGGAGTGTGTTGAATTGACATTTCTTCTACTTTTGCTTTGATACTCAATCTTACATTTACTATTTTTTGTTTTGGATACATTACTGTCTGCAGATTTTGCTTTTGGCATTTACCAGTATACATTGGTGTTACAATTCAAACTTGTACATTTTAAAAGTCATTTACTAATTAAAGGGTTCTTTCCTTTTTCAACTCATAAATAGGCATGGATTACAAACATCTAATATCTGTGTTCAGCTGCGTTCGCACACAGTACTTTAACATGTATCATGTGCTCAATTAACATTTGTTGACTGAGATAATATGTTATAAAAATATATTTTTTCTTTAAGCTACTATCAGTTCAGTCATTTCAGATAGCACATTCATTCCTGGAATACTATCAGTCTTTAAGAGGACCTTTGCTTTGACTCACTAATTGCATTAGTGAGACATCAGAATATATATTTTTAGCAGTTGTTTTAAACTGGGGAAAAATGGTGAAAATAGCTCTTCGAAAACCTAAGTGGAGGAAGCTACATTTGAGTTTGTGTAATTTACCTTTCAAATTGTATCTTAGCTCTTAAATCTGTGTATGTGTAGAAAATACTAAGTGCATTTCCCCTTCTAAACTCCAGTTAAACCTCATTAACTTTGATAGGCTATTTGTATTCATAAGAATTCCAAGCATCCTTGATCAATTATTCCTCCTGATTTAATCTCTGCCTCCATCTTCCATCAACTTAACTCTTCTTGAAAAAAATTTGACTTTCAAATTCAACTAAGAACTTAAAAAAAAAGATGCTGAACATAATTTAGATTAAATGTTGAAAGTTGTAATTGAGTGACAACTGACATGATTATTCATAAGTAGAATTTATTTTGAGAGAGGATAGTAGAAAAATAATAATACTTTTTTAGTACAGTAGAAACAGGGAAGTATTTCTTTTGCCATATTGTTAGCATCAGGTCTTTTAATTCTTGCATTTCTTATATAAATCTGACCACCTTGTTCTGTAGTTCTGCCCCCTTCAATACTCATTTCCTGCCAAGATTATGAGAGACCTAAGATCTTAGAGACCTTGTTACACTGGCTATAATTTTTTACTTCTTCTTAAAACATCTAATATTTTTCCATATCCAAATGTGTATTGTAAAGGTATTACTTGAGTATTAATAAGATATTACTTGAGTATTAAATAACTTTTAATATCTAGGATAGGTTATAGGAAAACAAATATTGGCATCAAAACTTTGTAGTCAGAAGCCAGATTTATCCAACGAAGTGGAGATGAGGTTCGCATCTGTTATTATCCAAATTTATTCTGACATTGGAGCAAATTGTTAAGTCCATAAATGCTATATACTCTGAGTTTTTCATAAAGAAGACTACTGGCAGAGATGCTTGATGAATAAAATCCCTAAAACTAAGTAAGTCTTTACACTTCCTAGAAGACATGATTTTATTTCCATATCCTTTATCTACATGGAAAAAATATGAGCTTTGGCAGCTGGGGAAAGGTAGCTTTTCTATTTTTTGTAATTCCATTATTTGTGTCAGTATTTCCACGAGGTCAGACAATAGAAGAGGAATGAATTTTTGTTACTGTATCACTAACATTTATTAAAGTTTATCA